CCTTACATTCCACGGGAACCGCGTCTGATACCACGTCCACCATCACCAAGTCAAAGAGCCCGAGCGCTTGACTTTTATGAAGAGCGTGATCGATGTTTGCAGGTCAGTGAACGCTGACGAATTTTGTATCCTTGAATTGCTGATAGAGCGGTACTCCTTCCAAAATGCTGTTATTAATGTTTGTGTATTGCAGACCAATACTCTGTTCGAGGATCCGGAATTTCCAGCGGATGATTCCAGTTTGTTCTATAGTAGACGACCTCCGAAGTACGTCGAATGGCTTCGTCCAGGAGTAAGTGAATATTCTTTTGATTTTTGCTCAACATCATGATTGTAATGAATGAAGGCTTCTTGAAGGAAATTGTCCATGAACCAGTGTTAATTTCGGAAGGGCAAACTCGCTTCGATGTGATTCAAGGCGAATTGGGAGATTGCTGGTTGATGGCTGGTGCCGCAAGTTTGACCCTACGTGATGAGCTATTCTATCGTGTGGTTCCACCGGACCAGAGTTTCACGGAAAACTATGCCGGTCAGTTATTAATTTTACTTATACACCATTGAAGTTATTTGAGTAACTACTTCAGTTTCATCTCCTTTTCCGTTTGACTTTTCAAAGATTGCATTCCTCGTTTATAGTGGCATCTTGTATGTTAAATGTTTATCCGTCACAATGGCGCTACAAAAAAGAAGACATGCAAATCTTGCTATGAACTGAAATGTTCTTTTAATGTATAAAAGGAAAGTTAGCTAAGTCAGCATGGAGGAATTTGATTTTAAATTTTTGATTATTGAATCTAAAATGGTATTGACAAGCAGGAATTCATGTAACTTTTAAGCGAAGTGACGGAAAAGCCTACGGATCCGTGAAATTAAAAATCTCGGTAAATTATCGTAGATGGATTTCATATGATTTTGATCTCATATTAGTATACCGAAAGTATCGTAAAGAATAATCAATTGAGAATAATTCTGACATTGATTTAATTCTCATCTTCCATCAGTCATCAGATGATGCAGAATGGTAAAAACAATTTTTGAGTTGCATCTTTTTCTCCAAATCCTTTAGCAAATTTGTTATCGGATTTTCGAAATCTGCATTTTATAGGAATATTTCATTTCCAATTTTGGCATTACGGTAATTGGGTGGATGTGGTTATTGATGATAGATTACCAACATCAGGTGGAAAACTTTTGTACATGCATTCCCGTGAACATAACGAATTCTGGAGCGCTTTGGTCGAAAAAGCATATGCCAAGTTAATTTTGAATTTTTAGAGAGAGATTGACAGGAAAAAAAGAATCCTTTCAAATTATTTGAAATTCATCAATAATTTTATGGGAATGACTTTTATACTTGCTTTATTTTCAAGATTTTATTAATTAAATTCAAGTAAACAGTTGATATTTATAGGTTATACGGTAATTATGAAGCGTTAAAAGGTGGCACAACATCGGAAGCACTGGAAGATATGACCGGTGGTTTGACAGAGTTTATCGATTTAAACGAGCCACCACCACATTTGTTACAAATGATGTTTCGAAGCTTTGAAATGGGTTCTTTGTTTGGATGCAGTATTGAGGTTTGCAGTAATTTCATTCAGTGTAATAAATTTTTCTCAGTTTGATTCTTTTAAGGTTTATTCATATGAAATTGTTTGCTTTTTACATTCCATTCACAACTTATGTTTTTACCAATATTCTTCAGGCCTCACCAATGGAATTTGAGGCACGCACACGGGAAGGATTAGTCAAAGGTCATGCTTATAGCATTACAGGAATGAGACTGGTAAGCTTATCGCATACTGGCAAATTTCATATTGAAAATGGGCAGCATAGTTTAGTTTGGAAATATGATATTAATGTGTTTTCATGATACATAGCGGAGTATCTATTAGCAAATGATGAATCTCCATATATATATATATATATATATATATATATATATATATATATATATATATATATATATTATATATATATATATATATATA